GCGTTGTTACTTCTTCTGGGGTAGCCGCATGAGCGGCAAGAGCAACATCCCCGAGAACCGCATGAAGAGCATGCCGACATCAGGAAGTGCAATTACATAACATCAGGTCGAGGAGCAGCAATAGCACCAGATCGCAGGAACGGTAACAAGACATGAGCAACGATATGAGGAGCGAACCCATCACCAGCAAGAGCCGCAACAAGTACGGAATGGCAGTTTTAATGATATACCGATAACAAGATTCATACGAAGAGCCGCACTACCATAACAACCACATGAAGATCAGCGACGACGTGAGCAACAGTCGCATCATTACCACAACAACATAACAAACACATGAATGGCAGCGACGACATGAGCACCAGCCGCATCAGGAACAGCAGCGGCGACATCAGCAGCAGCCACATAAGCGGCAGCTTTATCAGCAAAGTAGCAAGGGGCAGCAACCGCGTCAGTAAAGCCGGCACACGTCTCCGATCATCAGTTCTTATTACCAGATAAGAACCTCTCGTATGCTGAAACATAGTTGGGGGAAACCACGCCCGGAGATCAGGGCCTTCGAGATTTCCGATGTGTCTCAGTCCAACTATGTCCTTTAGGGTGCAACTTCTGGCAGGTTAGGTTCAGCATCGACGTTGATAATGAGATCCGTGGTGACAAACCGGGCTCATGTGGGATAGTCCCGCCGAATCCAGTTTAATCCAGGTTAATCCAGCTGAAATCTGGGCTTTATTTGAGCGTATCCCGCTTGATGGCTCCTGCATCGGGGTTAGCAGTAGTTACTCCCAGGAGTTGCCTCATGATGTTGATCGAACTTAATCGTGTTGAACAATCGGGCTGAGTAATCCCCCTGCGAGGGAAAGTCCTGGAGGCTTCGCGCGGCACGACGTAGTTGCATCATCTAATCCACACGTCCGCTGCGTAAGATGTGTGACATGGGTCGACGCTCGCGTGGCGATGCGGCGATGACCCGACGTGAATCCGACGTGAATCCGACGTGAATCCGAGGTAATCCGACGTGATCCTGACGTGGACCCGACGTGGATCCGACGTCAGTTGGGTCTCAGGTTGCCGTGCGAGGCCTCCAGGACTTTCCTCGTATGTCTTCCCCCCGGCTGCTCCGCAAAGACATGCCAGAAAGTCCAGGCGTCGCCAGGGATCGGATTTTCTCCGCGAGTGGCCGAAGCCCGCCCGAAACCCTCCGAAAACCTTTCCAGATGGGTTCCAGCAGGCTCTCCGGATGGTTCCGGAATGGGTTCGGGACAGTGTTCTCGGGTGCTGCTAGAAGCGCCCCTGGGCCAAGGTGCCCCCAGGATTCTCGGGGTGGCCCAAACGGCCTCCAGAGCACCCCTCACGAGGCCCAGAGGGCCCCAGGGGCTCCAACACGGAGCGGCAAGCTGGGGGCACCCTGGGCCCGGGGGTACTTCTGGCAACGCCCGATGTTCTCCGCTTGGGGGAGGGGACCAGCCTTGAACTCGGGGTTTTCCAGTCTCGGGCCGGACGAAGAGGGGGGGATTGGGAAAGGGAGGGTCACGAAATCTGCGGCGCGCCGCTGGTCTCGGCCCCTCCGCGGGGGGCCCGCTCCTCGATATGCCTACAGAGCCGCCTTCGGCGCCGGGAGGCACTGGGAAAATCAGCTACGCGCGAGCTGATTCTCACCCCCCCCTTTGCTGTCCCCCCTTTTGCGGGCAAGACTTGTGCCCATATCCACTGCAGCTTGGAGTTTCGGGCTCGCTTCCCCAGAACCTCGAGGCGCACTGGCCCCTACAGAGGCTCGATGTTTGTCCATATCCAGTGCGCCGCGGCGACCCCTTGCGCCCCTCCGTCCTGCCCAGGAAGGTGCGGGTTCACTGCCAGGGGCCTACCGCCGATCAGTCAGGGATGCATCGCCGACTCCAGGTCGATGTGTCCCGCCCCTGTGCCGGTCTCCCCTTGTCGAGGGCCAGGAGCAGGGGATGGTTGCCGAGGCCGTCGAGGTCGGAGGAGGAGGAGGAGGAGGAGGAGGAGGAGGAGGAGGATGGGAGCAAGAGGAGGAGGAGGAGAGGGAGGTGGAGGTGGGGGAGGAGGAGGAGTGAGAGGGGAGGAGGAGGAGGGGGAGGAGGAGGAGGAGGAGGAGGAGGAGGAGGAGGAGAGGGGGAGGAGGAGGAGGAGGAGGAGGAGGAGGGAGGAGGAGGAGGAGGAGGAGGAGCTAAGAGGTGCGCCGCCCTTCCGCCCGCCCCGACAGGTCCTCCCGTCCTCGCCCTGCCCCCCGCGCCCGCAGGCGGCGAGCGTCCGCGGCCCTGGCCGCCGCGCTCCTGGCCGCGGCCGCCCTCGCCGCGTGCCGCGCGGCGCGGGCTGGCCGGAGGACCCGGGGCGCCGAGGTGGCGCCCGCCGCCGGGCGAGCCACGTCGGGGAGGGCCGAGGAGGGCCGCGGGGAGTGGGAGGCCCGAGGGCGGGCTCGCTGGAGGCCTCGCCCGCCCCAGCTGCTGGGCGAGGCGGAGGCGCCCCTCGCTGGAGGTACACGCGGTCCCGCACGGACCGGGAGCTGCCCAGAGCTGGCGATGGATGTCAGTTCGACTAGACGTAAGAGTCGGGGGTGGACAGGACGGAGGTTTTTCGCAATTTTCGGCCTCAAGGGGCCCTCGCCGGGCCCCGGGACCATCAAAAAACGACTCAGGATGAAAAACCGGTCTTGGGGAATGGGTCGAGACCTACGGGGAGCCTTCTGTCGGGGGTGGACAGGACCCCCAACAGTGCCACGTCGATTAGTGGATTGCCCGTTTTCGGTTCTCGAGGGGGCGCCGTGGCCGTTGTTTTCCAGGCTGGCGCCCGCCAGGTTCGGGCCTCAGGTCGTTTTCACCAAACCACGTTTTACGGAAGGGGGGTCTGTCCATTCCCGACCACGGGCATGGCCGGACCGGCGCGCCCGGCGCATTCATCAGGGCTGAACCTAGGCGGCGTTTCTCGTTTTCGTTCCGTTCTCGTTGTCCCTCGCTGTCGTCTCGAATCTCCGCCTGCACCGCAAAACGAGGTCGAAGCGAGAACGACCCACGAAGTCAGCAAAAACACCGTTCAGGCCCACCCCTGGCAGACATGCTCGCGTCACGAACAGCAGATTGTAGCCAGAGTCCAGTATCCCCAAGCAGCGTGTCTGGAGCCACGGCGGCTCCCGAGGGGGTTCGCGCGTGCTCCTGCCTCTGTTCGGCGCGAGCGGCGCATGCGTGTTCGCGTCGTGAGAAAAAAAAAAACGGCGGGGTGTGTTTCGCTGCTTTCGACTCCCAGGCGCCCTTGCTCGGGGTCTCGGAGGATGCTGAGTCTGACGGGCAAATTTCCCACCACCGCTACCAATGTAGGACGGGGGAGAAGGTAATTAGGATGAGGAGGTCCTCCTCCTCCTCCTCCTCCTCCTCCTCCTCCTCCTCCTCCTCCTCCTCCTCCTCCTCCCTCTCTTACCTCTTGTAGTGGTGGTGGGAAATGGGCCCATCAGAGTCCGTGCGGAGTAGGTCCGTACGGCGTGCTCGGTCTCCGTAGGGGTCTACTCCGCCTGGGCTTCACCTCTCGTGACAGGATGCTAAGGCCGTGCGGGGCAAGTCCACGCGGAGTGCTCGGCCTCCGTCCGGACTTGCTTCGTTTGGATGTAGCTTCTCCTCGACCAAAGAACAAACGGCACCACCCCACCTACGGCACTCCATGTTGCGCCACCGCTCATCGGGGGCCGTAGCGTATACTTCCAAAAAAACCCACGCCAGATTTCTGGGTATTCTCTAAGCCCCGTGGGGCCGTAGGTGTGGTGTTGTCGCTTGTTTTCTGGTCCACCTCCTGGGGGGCCTTCTCAAAAGATGGCTCGGGATGAAGAGCCAGCCAGCTTTCAACAGCAGGCGTCCAGATGCTTGCCGCGAGGTGTGAAGGCGCCCATCGATAGTTCAGACAGCTCTGGTGCCGCTGGCGATGTGATGCGATGAAGAGCCAGCCCTGGGGACAGGGTCGGGACTTCTGGGGCCCCATGCTGAAAACGACAAGGCATCGGATGCAATGAGTTTCTGGCCACGGCGCCCCCTTGACTCCTCGCGCCGCTTCGCAGCCCTTGTCAGGAGCAACTTCGGGGTTCAAGGTTCCAGGGTTCAAGGTTCTAGGTTCCATGTTCTATGGCGTGCTCGTGGCTTCTCGGCCGTTCTCCAGCCTCGCTGTGCCTTCTGATAGCTGCGCCTCGCCGAGAGGCGTCTGACGAAATCTATACATATCCACTGCTCCCTGACCATGCCCATCTTGAACCCAGGAGCTGTGTATGCGCCCTCCTGGCCAAGCCAGGAGGGCGTGGCGTATACACCGCTGCGGGGTTGAGGATGGGCCTGGCCAGGGAGCAGTGGATGTGTACAGATTTCGTCGCCCTAATGGGGGTGCCGCAGATCGTCCGGATCGGCCTCCAGAGAGCCGAGTCGTGACGTGAGGGCCCGGGGGGGCACTGGTGCTTTTCGGTGGGGACGCATCGACCCGCAAGCCCGCGGCTTGCCCCGCGACCAGAGCGGCGAGCCGCCCGCGCTCCGGCGGCGCCAGCCTCGGGGAGGCAATCGCGGCCAAGCAGAGGTCCTCCATCTCACTCCTCTCTCCTCTCCCTCCACTCCTCCTCCTCCTCTCTCCTTCCTCCTCCTCCTCCTCCTCCCCTCCTCTCACCTTCCTCTCTCCCTCCTCCTCCTTCTCCTTCCTCCTCCATCCTCCTCCTCTCCTCTCCTCCTCCTCACTCCTCCTCCCCTCCTCCTCTTCCTCCTCCTCCTACGTTCCTCTCGTTCCTTTCCTCCTCCTCCTCCCCTCCTCCTCCTCCTCCTCCTCCTCCTCCTCCTCCTCCTCCTCCTCCTCCTGTACACCCGAGGCGCCCCCCCCCTCGGAGGCTGGAGCAGAGACGTTGCCAGTGGCGGGCTGTTTTGCACTCCCAGGACTTTTGAGGGTCGTGGGGAGGCGTCGGGGCGGTGTGGTGTCTGCTCTTTCCCCCGTTCTCCCGTGGAAGCAGGATCCGTATACACCAGGATCCGCTTTCCTGTGCGAGTTCCAGTGCGGGGCCGGAAAAAGCGTCGGCTGGAACGCCTCCGGGCAACCATCCTCTAACCCGAGCAGTCGGAACCGATCGCGAATCGAATTCGACGTCGCGGGTCGCGCTGTCGACGAATCGCCGCGGATAGCTCGATTTGACAAAATCGAACCTCGCCGCTACTAAGTCGGCTACTGCACGCAATCGGAGAGTTCGCTGGATCTGGAAAGGGTTCTCGCACAGCGCATCAACCGAACTCACCGCGCCTGCTCCTCCAACTTCGCTCGACAAACCCGTGACGTTCCCCCAGGTGGCGCCAGCCGCCGAGGGAGCCGCCGGCCTGGTCGAGGAGCGGTGCGACCGAAAGTAAGGGCGCCCTCGAGGGCGCGAAGTTATTCGCGCTTCGCGGTTCGGCTCCGATTCCTCATCCTCCTCTTCTCCCCTGGGAGGCGGCGCGAGAGCGCGAAGCTATTCGCGCTTCGCGCAGCGCGAAGCGCGAAGCTGGGAGCCCTTGGAAAGGGGCACCGGGACGAGCGGGGAGGAAGGCCGGCGGCGGCTCCCGGCGAGGCCTTTGGCTGCGCACAGACAGCCCCCCTAGGCAGTCCCGGCTGGCCTAAGCGTGCCCCCCGAGTAGTCCCGGGCGGTCTCAGCACCATGGCGCCGTTGAGGTGTGGTGACGCCGTTAATCGGAGGAGGAAAAGGTACCCATACCTCTACCCTCCCCTCGTTTTCCCCTTTTTGGGCCTCCTGGGAGACCCTCGTCGCCACCGCTGGATTCGCCTCGCAATTCTGGTCAGAATGCACCCCAGGAGAGGTCCGGGGAGTAGCGGTATCGGTACCTTTTGGTTTCCCCAGTTAAGGTGCCGAGACCGTCCGCCCCGTTCCCTTCGAGGGGCAAGCCGAGGCCAGCCATGACTACCTTTGGGGGCTGTCCGTGCGCAACGAGAAGCCTCACCAGCAGTTCCTTTTCATTTCGAGAGCATGTTAGCCAGCGTAGGGCCAAAACTGTGCGATCTTGCACTGTGGGGGTGAGATCTGTGAAGTGCAAGCTACTTGATGCAAGATACGCGGTGTGAGCAGGAAGTGAAAGCTATAGGGGATCAGCTATGCAATCTCATCTACGTTGTGGAAATTAGGCGGTGTCAGCTATGTGATGTAACCTATGTGATGTCAGGTATGTCGTGCAAGCTATGTCGGGTAAGCCATGCGGTGCAAGCCGCAGGTTGAAGCAATTGGGTGTAAGCTACGTGATGGAATCATTTGTATGCGGTGTAAGATGTATGTCGTAAGTTGTGTGGTGACAGCTATGTTTTGTAAGCACTGTTGTGTGACATGGAAGTGACCACTATGTGGAGTAAGCTATGTACTCTAAGCTATGGTGTGCAAGCTATGCTGTGTGAGCTGTGTGTTGTTAGCTATGCTGTGCAAGCTATGTTGCGTGAGCTATGCGGTGAGACTTGGAGGTGAAAAGGCATGGGGTGTAAGATATATGATGCCAGCTGTGGTGTAACTGAGCCGATGTAACCTATGTGGTGCGAGCTTTAGTGAATTTTATGTCGTGCAAGTTTTGCGGTGTGACATGGCTATGTGCTGTAAGCGATGCGGTGTATGCGACGTGAGCTAGATGCTGTAAGGTATTGATGAAGGCTATGCTGTGTTAGCGATGCCGTGTGACATGGAGGCGGAAGCTCTGGGGGTCAAGCTATGTGATGTAAGATGTGTTGTTTGATACTTATTGGCCTTCGCGCCACTCCGCCACTGTGCCTCGGTTGTGTGTGAAAGGCCTCTTGGATACTCATTGGGATCTCGTGGGAGGCCTCTCCATGGCCTTCTGAAGGCCGTTTTGAAGTCTCTGGGGGCTTGGGGCCGTTTTGGGGCTCTCTGGTGCCGTCTTGGGCGCCTCTTGAGCCATCTTGGGACCCTCTTGGGGGCCTCTGGGGCCGTCTTCGGGTGGTCGTGGGGGTCTGCTGGGACGTTTTGGAACGTCTGAAGCTCGAAACATGGACAACCCCTCAACCATGAAAACAACAATCAAAAACGAAACGACAACTCAAGCAGATGTTGACATCTCGGGGCCCTCTTGGCAAGGCTCCTGGCGGCCTCTTGGGGGCCTCTTGGCTTCTTGGGACGTCTTAGGCGCTCGTTCGGCCAACTAGAGACCATCTTGGGCGTCTTGGACCGCTTGTTCGGCGATTCGGGGCCCTTCTAGACCGTCGTGGGGGCCCTCACAACCCGTCTTGGGGGCCCCTGGGCCCGAACAAGTTATGCGGGAAGACGCTGGGCGCCCGAGAGATTTGTGAATGTGGGGTGCGGGCCCCTTACAGACCCCTCAGGATTGAGGACTGAGGCTTCAGGTGTTAGGCCATGGATCTGAGGACATTCAAAGTCGTGCCTCAAGGGTACGGTTGCGGATGTACAATGCAAGCTGTGTGGTGTAAGCTATGTGGTGTAAGCTTTTTGGCCAATGCTATTGCGTATCAGCTACGCGACTTGAACATGAGGCGGAAGCTATTGGGTGCAAGTTGTTTCATGTAAGCTATGATGTGCAAGCTACGTTGTGCAAGATATGTTGTGCAAACTGTGTGGCGAAAGAGGTGCCGTGCAAGCTATGGGGTGTAAGCTGGAAGCGAACGCCATGCTGCGTAAGCAGTGTGTCAGAAGCCATGTGAGCTGCGCGGTGGAACGCTGTGTGGTGCAAGTTCAGAGCACGGGGTGCCCACGAGGCGCCCACGAGGCGGCAACGTGGCGGCAGCGTGGCGAAGCCTTGGCACATCCCCTGCCCAAGCGCGCGCGGCGCTCACGAGGCGCCCACGAGGCGGCACCGCGGCGAAGCCTCGGCGCACGCTGCAAGAGCGGGGCGCCCACGAGGCACCCACCAGGCGTTCTCCCGAGGAGGAAGAGGAGGAGGAGGAGGAGGAGGAGGAGGAGGAGGAGGAGGTGGAGGAGGAGGAGGCGGCAACGTGGCGCAGTCTCGGCATGCAGCCCAAGCGCGCGGCGCTGACGGGGCGCCCACGAGGCGGCGCGGGCCCGCAACGGGGTAACAAACTCGGAAGAGCCAGCCGCGTGCGCAAGTCACGGCACTGCACTGCGAAGGTGCGGGCTGTGGGGTGTACGGTATGTGATATATATTAATATATATATATATATATATATATATATATATATATATATATATATATATATATATATATACAAGATTTTAAGGCTCGCTGCGCTTCGCCTTCTAATCTTGATCCTTGCACCTACGATGTTTCTGGGCGCGGGCGAGAACACAATTGTTCAATGAGGTGTGTGGAAATTGTGCGAGCGGAGACGAGGCGAGGCGAGTGCGCGGTAGCGCCCGGGGCGGGGCTCAGGGCGCAGCGTTGGTGGACGCTTGAGTGGAGGTGAAGGTGGAAAGTCGGATGCCGGACGCTAGAGGTCGGAGTGCTGAGCTGATGGAGGCTGGAAGTCTATAGGTGGAAGTCCCACCAGCCCTTTAGGGCTACGGTGGTATAACGAGTTTGGTCTTCTCTCTTCCCCTTCCTTCCCCTGCTCGGGGGAGGGGTAACCTTCCCCTGGACCTGGAGGGGGGGGGGATGGAGGCGTTAGAGCGTCCAAGATGGCTCAAGATGGCTCCCAAGAGGCGCTCCAAGTCGCAAGATGGCCTCCAAGATGGCCCAAGATACCTCAAGATGGGTCCAGATAGCCTCCGACACACCTCCAAGAGTCCTCAAGACGGATCCAAGTGCCCTTCGAGCCCTTCACGGCGCCCTCAAAGAAGCCAAAACCCTTCAAAAGCTTAAGGAAAGCCAATGTGTTTGGCATTCTCGTCTTTTCGCTTCCGATGGGCCCCTGAGGCATCAAGATGGCCCCAAGATGGCCCAAGAGAGCCCCAAGAGGGGCCCAAGAAGGCCCAAGACGGCCCCAAGATCGCCCAAGAGGCTTCCAAAGAGCGCTCCAACACGTCCCCAAGACGCCGTTTGAGAGCCTCCGAGGGGGGGACCTGAATTGAGGACCCCCGCTCTTTTTGAACAATGGGGCCCAAGACGGCCCCGAGAGGCCTCCCAGCCTCTCCTGAAGATTCTCCACCCCGCCCTTTTTGGCCCAAGATGGCTCCAAGAGAGCCCTAGATAGCCCAAGATGGCCTCCGAAATGGCCCAAGATAGCCAAGCATGGCTCAAGATAGCCTCCGACAGATCTCCAAGAGGCCTCAAGACAGCCTGAATATGGCCCGACATAGCCGAGCATGGCTCAGAATAGCTTCCGACAGCCTCTAGCCGAGCATGGCTCAGGATAGCCTCCAACAGGCCTCGGGAAAGCTGGCAATCAATTCTGGACGGGCTGGTGGGGATACTTTTTTTACAGCCGCAGGCGGAAGCGCCAGCGGCGGGCACGGTCGGGCTGCGGCCGCGACAAGGGGGCGGGCGCGCGCGGGGCCGCGGTCAGGCGGCAAGCAGCAGCGACCCAGGGCGTCTGAGCCAAGCGTGCAGATCCAGGGAGTCTGCAGGGCAGCCCCTGAAGGAACATGCAACGGCACATCCAGGGAGTCTGAGTACAGCCACCGAGGAAAGCCGAGCGCAGCCAAAATGGCGCGCAAGCGTTCCCGACAGAACGAGAACGAACGGGTGGGGAACGATTCCGAGCGGGACGTCTATCCAAGGAGTCTGACGGGTAGGGACAGACTGACTGGTGACGCAGTCCAGTGGGGAAAATCTCTGACGGCGCCAGCGAACCGTCGCGACGTCAGAACACGCATCCAGGGAGTGGAACCCAAGTCGCCAGTGGGAGAACCTTCCACAACTGAGATGCGCCTGAGCCCATGGACCAGCGATCTGGTCAGAGCACAGCAGAGTGCACGAAGCCACACGGTAGAAACACGTGGTCGCTTGGGAGTGCACCGCGCTGGTGGGGATACGCGAAGCGTCAAGAATTGAGAGGAAAGTCGGCGGCCACATGCTGGAGGACGGGATGCTGACCTGGTAGAGGCTGGGGGTCCCGCGAGCGAAGCGGACACACGATATTGAATGAGAGATGTGGCCGGCGCATCGGCGAGAGCACGGGGCCCAGTGAAAGCTGTCTTCTGTTTCCGCCGTTTGCCCTCCCCTCCTCCTGCTCCTCCGTGCCCTCCTTCCGTCTTCCTGGGGCCCCTCCTGTTTTTCGCAATCCTCACCGTTCCTTCCTCTTCCTTTTTCTCCTCCGTCCCGCCTCCTGCTCCTTTTCCTTCTCTGCCACGCGGGCCCATTCGGCGCGCGGGCCAGCCGAGCCAAGGACGACGGCTCAGGTCAATCAGAGTGTAATGAATTTGACGGCTCTAAGACTGAGTGGAGCTCCTGTTGGTGCTTTTGTATACCATCGGAGGGCCTTTTT